ATATAATATCAGAAAAATACAGTATCGCCAAAATGTGTCGCAACTAAATGAATACAATTTTGTTTTGAATTATTTACTCGACTTTAGTGAGTGTCCGTGCGTTTGTGTCCAACACACAAATATCGCCGGTTTTTACGGCTTGACAGACGTCCTCCACGGCCACCAAACACGGGACTCCGTACTCGCGAGCTATGACCGCCCCGTGAGATATAGTTCCGCCGATTTCTGTAACAATGCCCGACAATAAAGGGAAATACGGACTCCAACCGATGTCCGTCGAGTACGTGACGAGTATGTCACCCGGCTACCTCATTCGTAATAATTTAATAAATAAATTAATATAAACCACAAAATTATTCCTATAATGAATACCAGAATATTGTCGGCGTCGGCGATACCATCGGCCACACAAACCCTAGCCTTAACGTATCCCTCGCTAACCGGCGTCCCCTTCATCTGAACCATACCCGCGCCCAGAGTCGACGCAATCGTGCGCTTTTCTAACTACAAAATTGTTACGAGAAATATGTAATACATAATATCTGATAGGATATTTCGATAAGTGTATTAGAAAAAAGCTTTAATCTTAAGCTTCCACTATTGCTTCAAACTTTAGATATAACTTACATGTAAATTTTTGAAGCAATATTGGAGGCTTAAGATTAAAGCATTTTTTCTAATACACTTATCGAAATATCCTATCTGATATTCTTTCGATCAAAATAATTATTGCATACATTCCTGGGCCTCATTTCGGGCCCTTTAATAAACTCGTCAAACTTGTATCCATCCATTTGTTTGTAAAGTCTTCGTCGGTGCCTAACTCTCGTCAGTATTAATGGATTCCTGCGGCCAATGCAGAGCTCATCCACTTCGTTGACCGTCAGATAGAAGAAGTGATCGTCGAATGGGATCAGCCCTTCGGCGACCATCTGTCGAGCCAATAGTCGAAAGCCTTGTTTCCACATATCGGTCATAAATACATTGAAATGCTTGGACAGTTCCCGGTGTCCGACACCCCTTTGAACCCACGGAAGGATCAGCTTCTTTAGCAAAAGTCTCCTCAATGGACTCAATGGTGTCTTGAGTTCGTCGACCGCCTGATCGACAGATTTGACAACTTTTGGCTCGAGTTGTCGCTTATTTCCCGATAATAATCCCTAAAATTAAACACCCATTCGTTAATAATTTTCATACATACACTTATTTCTGATAGGTTATTCTGATAATTGTATTAGAAAAAAACTTTAATTTTAATCTTTCAATATAGCTTCAAACTTTACATGTAAGTTATATGTAAAGCTTGACGCAATATAGGAAGGTTGGGATTAAAGGTTTTTTCTAATACACTTATCGGAATATCCTATCAGATATTTGGAATTAAAGTTTATCATAAAATAAAATAATTTTGACTTTAATGGTCTGAACGCAAGGAATGGGATTCTCTTTCCAGGAGTGATGCATGGGATCCGCCTCTCGATAGCCTCTGTGGCCATGGATGTCAAGGAAATGCCTAAATCTTATCGACGACTCGTCGGACCCGTTGGCCAACACCTGGAGCGCCTCCTCATCAGTCAACTGTCGGAAGGTATGCTTGTCTTTGATAGTCGTCGCGATTTCCCGCAAACTGTTGGGCGCGTCAGCGCTGATCACGTCATTGCACGACGCGATCAATAGATTATAGTCCGACTCCAGCCATGAGTTATTTGCTGTTAAGATTGAATTATTTAAACAAATATTTATAACTTTGAGTACTATCATTAACCGTGAATAAAGTCGCTATCGAGGGTAAAGTTATTAGTTTGTGTTAACTCACCTCAATATTTATATCATAACTTATTTTTAAAATAAATATTTATAGTTATAGTAAACACTCACGCATAGAATGTTGCAAGAACAATTTCAAAACCATTAGCTTAATAGACGCGGCTCCAGTAACAGGGCCATGGTGCTTTACAAGTATATCGCTAATAAAATTAAAATTATCTAGCAACGCTTTCCAAATGCCTACAGCCGTGGTGTATGGTCTCAAGCGAGCTATTAAATCGTAATCCTTTTCATCCATAATATGTTTCTTAGCTTTTAGCAGATTTTTGGGACCAAATAATAGCGAGTAAACCAAAAAACCAGCGGATCTTAGCTTATGAACGAGTGATGGCTGTCTTCTATTCATACGGTTTCGCTTAAAGGCGTTGAGAACATCCTGATCCTCGAAATGGTGTCCAAAAAATGACAAAACCATTTGTTTTGATTCAGCCGTATCTGGATAGTCGCTAAAGTCTACCCGCGTACCCTGGTGCCATACAAACAAATAGTAGTAATAGTATGGGCGTAAGTTATATTAAAATATAAAGCACCAACGTTAGTTAGGCTAAACATCAATTGGTTGTACGCGACGCCCATTGTATCGACGTATGGGTTATAGTCGTCGGCAATTGCCGTTCCCTTCATCACATCCATGCGCTTAACATAAGTCACAATTACTATATGTATTATACTAAGCAGGCTAAACATTTGTAAGCGAGCTTATTTAATCATATATTGGCTTGCATTTGTCCAGGCTCATACCCTACCATGTATTGACTTTTATTTGCCCAGGACCATTGCAACGCCGTCCATGATGTCGCTCCCGGGAAGGTAGTGCCGCAATGGGCGCGGGTGTGGATCTCGGACTCTGTCGGGTGAGAGGAATCCATTTCGTGCATAATCTCGTAGTCGGTGTACCGGTTGTCCAAATTGGTGACGGGTCGCGCCTGTAGCGCATATATCTGGCCCCCTTGTAGGCCCCACTCGATATCGACGGGGTGTCCATAGTGTTTGTGAATCTGACGTCAAAAACAATCGTTAGTTTCCGTTTCCGTACGTAATATATACGCGAAGGCAATGGCGGAGACCTGAAGTCCAATGTCCGCCAAACGCATGACATCCTCATCGGTGACACAACAGCCACTCCCATGGGGCGCCTCCTCCACGACAGTCCCACCACTTTCTGACAGCCTTACGGACGTCTTCTTCTGTCCGATCGCTTTGGAATCAATCGCTTTGACGCGTCTTCGGGCGGACAGAGAGTTGGACTCAATATCGACCGACACGTGGATTGTGTCCGGTTCTGACGACCCCGACACCACTGACTGTCAGGCCATGCAAACAGTCATCAAAATATTTTAATACTAGTTCACGCCTTAAGACAACTCACTTCTCCCAGTCCATAGTTGGCCGTCACCTCCAGTACCCCCTCATCACCGGTGATGGGATCACATGTGAACATAACGCCCGCCGATTGGCAGTCAATCATCTCTTGTATGACGACAGCCATCGGCCCATTGATAGACTGTCCGTAGCCTCTCTTATACGCGACGGCGATGCCAGAGAACTGAGACGACCAGCACTTCATGACCGACGAGTAGATCCCCTCAAGACCCCTGACCCCCAAATAGGTGGTCATCTGCCCGGCGGCCGACATCTCCGCCGAGTCCTCCGAAACGGCGGACGATCTGACGGCAAATAGTTTCGTCTCAAAATCGGCGAAGTTTTGGCGTAATTTCGCTTCAATTTCCTGTTTTATAACTTCCGGTAATTTATGACTCGATATAGTATTCATTAAATGATCGCATTTAGTGATCAACTCTTTGCCGGACCATTGCGTCGATTCCTCGAGTTCTCGGATATATTGAGACAAATCCGTATATTCCCGGAGAAGGTGTCGGTAGGCATTGGCGGTGACAATCACACCATTGGGTACATGGAATCGCTTCTTATATTTCTCGTTCACCAACACTTGACTCAAACTCATGAGTACGGCTAAAGAGCTCCCTTTACCACCGTTTATATCAACTCTTTGGGCGTTTTCTTCGTGTAAACCCAATACGAGTGACGATTCATTTGCCACCGATTTATATGTTTGGACCCATTGTTGGACATGTCTTTCCGTATCCTGTAATACATAACACATACCTTCGGATCCGTTCACTAAAAGCCTTTTCGCCAAACAGTTGCCGTGTTTTTCGATCACAAAATCGTAATCTCTTTCACCGAACGTCGCTTTAAAATGGACTAAATTGTTGCCTAATATATGGCTAAAATCCTGTCCTTTTAGTGACAGCGCCTTAAGTCTCAAAAAGTGTCCGCTTTTGTCGAATAGATACCCAAAACGGTATTCATTACCACTTTTATCGCAAACAAATCCCAAATGAAAACCAATTCCTAATGATCGCAGATATTACTAATTTATCATATTATTTAACTTGCTCATTTAATTCATACCGTCCTTAGTATAACCACAACACCGGTGAATATCCCTATTAATCGGCGTATTGTGTAAATACTTTTTACCCGCCGATCCCCATAAGTACAGCTGTCGGTGCCCACCATCGGGTCCCTCCGTGAACTGTCCCTTCAGTTGACCGAATTGCTCGAATCGGTTCTCGAATCGAGTTTCACTTTTGTCGGACTTCGACGATAACGCCATCTCTTTGGCCATAAACTGGTCGTCAAAGTCGTGGTGGAAGTCATACACTCTTGAGAGGGCGTACCATAAGAACCGGAAGCGCGCGTAAACCAATTGATTGCCATTCTTCGTGAGGTATCCCCTAAACGTAATCCGTTTGCGTCTGAAGGGGGAACTGATCTCTAGCCGGAGGCCACCCACTCTGTACTCGTTTGGCCGGAAGTCCACCGCCGAGTCCTCCTCTAATGTATAGCTATTACTGTTGTTGTCGTCAAATCTCAAGCTAATGGTTGCGTCGATTTGATTGTCCGCCCCTTTGGGTCTCCATTTGATTGCGATATAAATGCTTTGTTTCGATGAATTCACGCCATATATGAATAAATCCTCGCTTTTAATCTGTCGATAGTAATGCATAGACTCGTTAGAAAAAACAAGCACCTTTATTTTCCGGCAAGATATATCTGACCAGGGAATCTATCAAAACTGGTAGCGGTTTGTCCTTGATAATTCATAAACGTCTAATTCTATCTTAGATTCGACTTCAGATTCTTAAACCTGAATGAATGTACGATCTCTGGGTATATAAGATCATAATTTTATGTTACCTGGTTACAAAGATATTCACGTTTGAATATTGACAAGGCACTTCGAGAAACTCTCATTTAAAATACATTAGGTTTTTGTGTGTGCTTTTAAGTATTTTAGTTTTACTTTGAAAATATACAAAATAACAATCTTAGTGATTTCATATGGTTTTTTTACATTTTTATATGACATCAAGAATATTCTGTGATAATTGATGATTTCCAGTACCCGTGATATTATATATATATATATATCAGTGTAAGATTTACCAAAGTATGTGCGCATTTTCAATACATTTAAAACACTATATCTTATGTGTATTTTGTATTCAGTTATCATGTTTTAATTTTTAATAAAAAATCGCACATACCTTTGGTAAAGCTTGCACTGATATATATATATTTAAAAATTATACTTTTGCATTTTAAGTAAATACCTGATCTGGACAGTCGTACTGCCATTCGTGTGGGAACGGCATGAGTCCCGAGTGGTAGATGTCATCCCTCCAGAGGTCATGCGTTACTATTCTATTAGTCTTCCGGTGTCTCCTTCTGGACCACAGTTCACACAATTCACTAAAATATCTAAACCACTGGCCATTGATCTCATGGTTTAGTTGAACTAATTTGCGAACAAATATAATGATCACAGGAATCAATAGTAATATGAGTTCCATAACTCATAACTTTATACAAAATTTGATTACAACTTATAAAACTAATTAATAATTTTTATTAAATAGTTGTTTTCATTATATAGTGCTAAAAGAGTCACCACTTTTATATGAGTTTATTGCATAAATGTTGTATTATACTTGTACAGTAAAAATAAAATTGTACCCGGTAACTGAAAGTGATGCGAGTTGAAAACAAGCTACCACCCCATGTGGTTGTACAGAGTGACAGTATAGTGTGCTCTCGTCCAACCACAGGTTTGTGGGTAGGCTTCCCAAATCGCAAGGTTCACGCAGGACACTCAAGGAATTTGTGGTGTGCTCAAGGAAATATTTTCAAAAATATGACCATTTCAATGGACCTCAAGGAAATTTATAATCACTTTTTAAAAGGTAATGAAAATTAAGGACAAGGCTGGGCAGGAGTCTCAAGGAATCGGGGGTTCTGACCAGGGTCTCAAGGAGATAAAATACTTTCTAAATAGGGTTCTAAATCTTTAAAACCGTACTGAAAATGTAATTGTCTTTTATATATAAAGTATTATATATACTGTATATCAGTCAAAGAAGTTCAAATTCATTGGGAAGAAATATTCCCCTAAACTTTAATATTGCCGGAATAAAGATTGATTTTGAGTATAGATAATAACATTAGAAAGTTGTACTTAAGTAGCATATATTAGATTATAATGAATCATGTAAACTTATCTATACTCAAAATCAATCTTTATTCCGGCAATATTAAAGTTTAGGGGAATATTTCTTCCCAATGAATTTGAACTTCTTTGACTGATATATCTAGTTTACTATATCTATATACACCAATGGACAAGCGAAACTGGTGTCGGTTATTTGCATATATCTCTTAAACGCGGATTTGGATTTCAGTTGTGACTTCAGATTCAGAAACTAGAATAAATGAACAATTTTTTGGTATATAG